GGGGGGTCCTAGCCCGCCAAGTCTATCAAGACGGGAAGCAGTATGAAACAGTTGGCGAGCTCAAGAGTGCCATCAAGCGTGAATGGGAAAACATTTCTCAAGATTACTTGCACAAGTTGATCCGGTCGATGCCAAAGCGGTGCGTGCAGGTTATTCAAGCCAAGGGGGGCAAGACGAAGTACTGAGGTGTAGTTTTGAGTAGCGTAACGTTGATAATACATGATTTTTGTGACGTTTCATCATGGTGTCCTATCCTGCTGTCACACCTCCAAATCGGTTTTCGCGGCAGAACTCAGTCATACTTCACTATTTTGACCTGAAACTAGCGCCAAACGATCGGACCAATCAAAACGATTGCTTCGGTATATTTTGCTTCATCCAAAGGGCAATTTATCGACAGCTTGACCAAAAAAACAGGGGTGTCCTATCCATGTGGCGCGCACTGTAGTCAAAATCCACATGATCTTTACAAGAACACATTGGATTGGATAAAATACCTTGATTCTTTGAATCGCAACCAATCCTATGTGTACACTTCTACAACTAATCATTTTTCATTGGATAAAATGTATTGCATGTCACTTTAATTGACCAATAAGGAAGCTCTCACTTTACACTGTCCGAATGAGGACACTTCATTAAAACCACGACGATATTCGCTTGGCGCCATTTGAACAATCCGCGGTTGACGGCGGCGGTAGGGCTACCTCTGCGGCTTTTGGAGGAGATTCCGCGGAGGGAGTCGCGGCAACCGTCTCGCGTCTAGGGTGTATGTGTCCGTTGACTCTGAATTTGCACAACACACACGATTCTTCGGCGGGCCCGTCGACCACTTCCCGGACAATTGTCGCCGGCGCAGTGAGGACCCCATCCGCCGAACCCAGCAAAGACCGGAGATGGTTGTGCCCTGGGACCTTTAGCCGGCACAACACACAGTCGTCTTCTGGCTTGACGTTGGTGATCGCGGCAGTAGTCGCGGACTCGACGACTGCGTCGGCATCTTCCTCAGGAAGCACTGCCAAGCCCTGTCGCTTGGCTCCCAATCCCCGTGGACGGCTTTCGATACATGGCGAACGAATGCCACTGCTTTGGTTTCTGTCGAACGACTTAAGTCCGAGAGAATTGTCGGGCGAACCACCACTGCCGTCCTGCGGCAACACAGACATTGTGATCCGACGTGACAGGGCTGTCCCGGTGGTGGCGATGCTGTAGTTGGGACCAGCGAGCTGCACGGACAATTCGTCCGCAGTCGGTGCACTCTCCATTTTTTTCCCGCGAAAGCAGTACTTCATTGCACGAGTGGTCGCCGACACAACCGGTCGTACGCGGAGCTTTTCTACCCATCCAAGTCGCTGAGTTCGGCCACAATCGGCAACAGAATCGGTCAAAAATATGATGAACCCAAGGGGGATCGCATCCATGCCATGAATCCTTCCTCGTCCACACGAGGCATTCGTACCTTCAAAGATTTGGTCCGCGCACGTGCCGCGAATGGCATATCGCTTGAGTACCGACTCTAGCACGCAGAAACGACGTTGAGTTTTTGGCGCATCACACGTTGAATGGAGGAGACACGAGTTCGGACACATATGCGCGACGTCCCCGTTGCATGAGCATTGCATGCACATCCAACCCAACCGAGGCACAACAAGAGCAAGGATGGATGACCTTACGCTGGGCAAGCTGTTGCTGCTGCGCCATGCGCGTGTGATAGTCAGTCGCGTCGTCGACCGCAGCGGCCATGCGCGGCGGCAAGTCAAACACAACGATAGGGTTGATCGCTTTGTACTCCTCAGTGCAGTTGGAACCGTTGACAAAAATCGTCGTGCCGTCAAAGGTCGCGCCGTATCCTTCGTGCACTAGAAAGCCAAACAAGTCGTACGCTGCCGACGATTCCGCACAAAGAAGACGACGGCGCCTCGTACCATGGCCAAACAAGTGAAACGCAGGCTTGATGCGCTCCTGAACTTGGTGCAGCAAATGAACATCACCCACTCGAAGAATTCCAATGTCGTCACCACGACCCATGGGCGGCGAGTGCGTGACAAGGACGTCCACATTCGACGGGACGGCAGCCCACTTGGCCTTCAACTCATCGCTGCCCCGAGGCAGGTTGAATGCCCAGTCGCAAAATGCTGGTTGCCACGGCGATCTAATCAGGTGTCACCATCCATTTTCAAAGTCGTCACACCGACGCAACTCATGCATATAGAAAGGAATTTGCGCAGACTCAATCGAATCGACGACGTCTCAAGTGACCATGCAAAAAGGAGCTAGACACCTCAACGAAACTTCAGACCGTTTGCATGCCACATGCTTTCAAGTCGAGCACACGTCAACGCACCCGTAGATGCGGTAGCCTTCGACCGTGATGAGCATGTCTTCGAGGTACACCGCGTTCGTGAGCAGCGACCGGACATCGTCCGAGTCGTATTCCACGGGGTGGCCATATCGCTTCCAATGGGACGAGTAGTACGCTTTCTCAAACGTAGTCTCGTGGTTCCCGGCAATGACGACCTTGTAGCGATGGGGAAGTTTGCCGAGGAAGTCGTTGAATGCCCGCACCTACGTGTGGGCGAATGAGCCACATCCATTCAAGGAAGGAGAAGGGGGGTGTACTTCGTCGCGGTCACCGGTGTCGGTAAAGTCACCGCCATGAATCAAGAGGTCGCCGTCCGGAATTGGAGGTAGTTCGTCATGAAGAGAATGCGTGTCCGAGATGAACACGACGCGGAGATCACCAGGTTGCTTTCGTGCAGGCACATGCGGTAACGAGAAGCCGCGTTGGTAGTACTGGTACGGTTGAATTCGGCGCCAGACGGCGCCTATGTCGTCGGCGGGAGTATGTGCCACAGCATCTTCGAGCGCTTGAACCCTCGCATGCTGCCAGAAAGAAGCGATGTCTTCCGGGGAGAGCGAATCTTCGCGTAGACAAGCGTCGATCTCGTAGCGGGCCTTACCTTCCTTCAGGAATGATTTGTACTTGTCAAAGTTCACCGGCATCTCCCGCATCGAGGCGGCACCGCCGACACTCGTCCTCACCAGGAGTGATTATCCGGATTGAAGGAGTTTAAACGTCTGCGTTTAACCTCAATAGACAGATTTCGCAAACGCAAGTTCTGTTCTACTGTATCTGCAACCCATCCTCTCAGATTCAATAAGTTTGGAACCCACCTGTGACAACTTGTTGCACAACCATTCCTTCATCCGCTACATCCGCATAAATTCTCATTTCGTGTCGCCATCATGGCTGATGAGGTGTAGCCTGACGCAGACTCCCTAGCGCGGAAATGGTGGAGTGATGCGGACGATCTTAGCCAACTCACCCAGGTCAATAATGACCTTCCCTTCAAGCACGCAAAGAGCACTGCCAAAGCATGGGACAGTGTCGCGGCCAAGCTACTGCAGGCTCCATCGTTTGCGAGATATGGACTGGACGGGAAGGAGGCATCAAGTCATTTTTTCCACTTGCTCCGTGTGCACCGAAAGTTTCAAGAGACTTCCAAGTACCTGTCGGGAGTAGCACAAGATGAAACCGGCAAGATTGTACGTTTGGACGAGCTGCTGCGGTTGCATGACGAACACACCGAACAGCGCCAAGCCGAACGGACTACAGCAACGGCAGCTGCAAGCGAAAAGGAAGAAAAAGCATCACACATCCGTGTACAAGCGATGCGTCGTGGCCGCCGCTCGTCGGTCGAACCAGACGATTCAACTGACAGTGATGCGGTAAGTAGGAAACGTAAAGCAATTTTTGAGTCCCAGGATCGTGAAATTGAGCACGAAGGGCTCAAATTCAAGAAGCACAAATTTGAAATGGAGCTTCAAGAGCGTGAGAAGGATAGGATAGAAAGAATCCAACAACGAGACGACGCACGGAAACGAACGGAAGACATGATGACACTCATTCGTCAATTGATCGAGATGAAAAAACATTAGTTGTAAATATGTCCTCCTTCTACTCATGTTGATCAATGAAATTTTGCTCAAGTAGTATTGGATTATGTACAAAACTAAATACTCCTCAAGTTGTGGTGACGCCAAGTTGAAATAGTTAATGATTTGATTGCCGCCGTAATAGCAGCCTTGCTTCCGTCGATGAATCCAATGATGTATGTCCATCTTGGATCCCTTGTTCTTGATTGCAGCAGCGTATATTGTCAATCGGTTGGCAACTCTCGGCTGGCAAAAGTACAAAACGCCACTCTAATGTGCAAACAAAATGTCGATTGTGTCGTTAAAAATTCGACACAGGGCTTCGCGTGATCGTCCGAATGTGGACATCATGTCGTAGAGTCGTTGTGGGTACATGTATGATATGCGGTACAGTGTGATGCAAAGCGCTTCGGTCGCGAGGCAACGGTCGCGTGAAGCAGTGATGACAACCTCGGGAAGGCGCAATGCAATGACGAGACGTTGAATGCTTGGACGTCGAAACGGAACTTTAATGTGGCATCGGCATCCGTTAGCAAAAGCAGATCAATACGAATGTCCGGTACAAGAGGTCGTTCAACGATGCAAGCAAGCAGACGGAAAAGCCGCATGAGTTGTCGGAAATTGGCTCCATGACGCTTCTTAAGCAGCACTTCGATCTCATGGCATGACAGCATATGTGGATGTGAGGTCGCTACAGCTGTACTGATTTCCACCCGACTTTTAAACGGGCCAAAGTCGATAACTTTTTATGAATTTAAACTATAGAATGTCGAGGTGAAATTGAAATTTCAAAAGGCTCAATGATGTTTGCGTGATGCCACTTTGAAATCATGAAGCTACGCATGACCTTGTTCGATAAGCAAGAGCTGTATGCACATCACAAGGAACATCCAACCGCTACGTACTCCCAGTGGCTATATGGGCTGCTGAAAGTTCACCCTCGCATCAATCCCAACAACAGCAACAATTGGAAATGTACTAAAACGACACACTACGCTAAACCCTCGTGCCGACAACAAAATGCGTAGTATTGACCGTCATGTTTCCCTGCCTGATGTCGAACAAAGTGTCCTTGCTTGGGTCCTGCTGTGCGAAGACTTGGGGATATGGGTATGCATCACTGGCGAACTCATCCGCAAGCAGGCGTCTATCGTTTGCGACCAAATGAACATCCCCGCTTCGAAACCGGAATCGGACAGGCATTCTTGACACTGAACTGTCGACATTTAGCGACCATGTAGCGGCCATCCAGTAGTAACAATTTGTACCTGTTCAATTTTGTGTCCTTTTAAAGTAAAGTTATTACTCAGCCGCCGTTTAAAAGTCGGGTGGAAATCAGTATTTTGATTGGACTAGTTTAGCGGATAGAACCTGTTTGAATCGGATGACTTGCGAAATTCAATGGTCGTGAGGTTTCATTAGACCTCTAAAACAGCCAATGAGTAAAAATCGAATGATTTACCACACCACTAATATACAGGGTCATTTCATATGTGACTCACAATCTTGTTGGGCTCATCCAATCCTCGGAAGGATCGATGAAATCAAGAAGGTAGTGACTATCCTTGTATTGGACAAACTCCATTCCATTGATACAATCAAGTTATGCAGGTACAAATAACTTTATCGATGGACAACATTACAAGCCAAGCCTTTGGCGCGTAGCATGTCGGTTTGACGAATAGGCAGTGGTGGATAGGCCCCGGGTTGAAGTCCCGGGGTGTGCCAAAGTTATCCAAAAAACATAATTTTTCTGCGGATGAAAAATTGAATTGAACTTATGCTAATAAAGAATGTCATCTGCCTCCTTATAGCCAATGTCGAAGTCCTCGCTCGCGTAGCCGGAGTTCACTCGACCCAATGCTGCTTGAATTTTTGCCTTGCGGTTTTCGCGATACTTGGCCTTCATGGACAATGCCCTCGTCTTGAGCTTACCACCAATAGAGAGCAGGCGGTTCTTGTTCTGGTTGTAGCCCTCGCCATCAACGCTCCTAAGAGGGTTAAATCGTACATGCACGTTGGTCAGCGCCACATAGGTCTGAAAGTACATGTTGTACTCCTCCTTCTTCCATGCATACTTGTCAGAGGCCAGTCCCCAGAGCGTCTTGAGTCGTCCGAAAAAGTTCTCCACAACGCGATCCGAAGACAGCTCGGCATTAGCCACCTCCTGCTCCATCGTGAGAAGACCATGGGGTGGGCGCTTGACTGGGGTAAGGCCACGGACGCAGTCTTGAATTCTCTGACAGCCCTTGTCCGCAAGCACTGCCCATCGAGTTAGAAATTTTTCACGAAAAGTGAACATTTCAAAGTCCGACATGCTGCCGACCGCACAGTCCGTGACATTGACCGCCAATCCATTCGGAGCAACGGAGACTTCGGCCGTGTGCCCGTATATGTCGTGCTTCTTGGAAAAGTATACCTTCTTTTCGCCAAAGAATGCAGCTGGGGCAGTTGTCTGCTGAAAGGCGACGTCAACAGCGTACAGAGCTGACTTGTGTGTTTCAAACTGCAAACCAGCAACGGCATAGTCCATTTCAAACATTTATCATCAATGTACTTGCGGACTAGGTACGGATGGATCACGCAGATGAAGTTGTTCACTCGGTTGCTGAAGGTCGACGCCTTCTCGTCAAAGCTTGCGGCGAGGAGGTTCCAGGTTCCAGCATGTTTGAGCGTTACCAGGGTCATAAACAACATATCCTTTCCGGCCACAGGTCACTTGCGTCCCCCGCCCGCGTTCCAGTTCTTTGTCACAAAAGGTTTGATGTTTGTCCACAGCGAGTTGAGCTCCGAGATGAAAAGTTCGTTAGGGTGTGGACAACCTCGACACCTTGTGCAGCAATGAACCAGTCCGTGACGGGTGACGTTGAGTCAGGATCTTCCGTTGATGGGTCGTTGGACTCGATTGAATATCGTTGGCGCTTTGCAAGACGTCGCTCGTCTAGCGCAGTAAGGGCATCGACTGCCTTCGCAATAGATCGCGCAGATTAGTTCCGTTTTGATGTTGCGGAGGAGGCTTGGCTGGCCATTGACCAGGAGTAGACGATGACCCAAGATGTTTTGATGCGATTTATAAAGTGAGTGGGTAAATCGTCAATGCTCAGAGTATTCGAGAAAAGACTAAATGGTCAACGGGATGCATAATCAATGGTCAAGATTGAATCACTCAACATGGATAGATCACAGTGCAAGTTACTCAGTAACAACTAGGTTGTCACTCAGCATAGAAAGACCGAGTGTCTACCAATTCAGCCTGAAATCTG